ACCCCTTCAATTTTGCAGTCTGGCCCCCTGGAACGTATTGACCGGGCCCTTTACCTTACACCGCAATGTCTTGTTGACCGAAACCTTTTCCGACGGGCTGCTACGACACGGGAAGCCTATTGGGTGCGCCGGCTGTGGACTCTTCATCCGGCTGGTCTGAACGCTGTCCTGCCGCTTGCTCGCCTACATGCAAGAAGACGGCAACGTCGTCCTCATCGCTGGACACAGACAGGCCCTCGTCCGTCAGACCATCAACGGCCCCGGCCTATTGATTTGCATCCAGGTCCCGACTTTCAAGTCCGGTCTGCATTGCACAATCTTCTTTCACAGGCTGCTGCTGGCAATTCGCAGCAGATGGAATCTGTCATCCAGCAAGCAACATCAGTTTGTCGTGCCCGCTTGCTGCACTGGTTAAGCAATAATGTCTCGAATGCAGATATGACTGCGCATATTTGCCAGCTTGAATGCCTGATTCCAAAGCATCAACATGTCCGCCAGTTAAGCCAGAGAAATTTCAAGGAAATCTGGGAAAACGGAGAACTCACTTTCCGGACGATCCAGGACTTTAACTCCTACTCAGCAGTTCCGCAGAAAAAGGCGGTAATAACGTGCTGTCTGCATAGAATATATCAGATGACTTCGGACGTCGAACTGACTGGATTAGGGCTACTATCTCTTATAAGGCTTCTACGCCTGGAGGACTACCCAGGAAAATATTTCGACGACTGCCTGAGTAAATTTATTCGGAGACGAGCTCCGACCTGGGACACTTGGGGTAGAAAATACTGTCGTTGGTAGAAATAAAAATCGAAAGGATTTTCTGATCCACGAAATCTGAGGGTAAAACCTAGTTTTCGATAAATCCGAAAGTCTGATCGAAAACGCAGGAACTGTCTAGCCCGCAGTCACATGTGAGCTGTAAAAGAAACGACAGGAAAAACCTAGATTTTTGAGGGATCTCTTTCTGGGAGCAGGAAGTTTTTTCCCCGTAAATCCTGAAGTAAATACAGGACTAGTTGAAACGTTTTTCTTTTGAAGCGAACTGAACTCATGGGCCACTGAACTGCCGTCTTTTTGGAATTTTCTATTATTTTTTTATTTTATTCTGCTTTTTCCAGGAGGTACTTCGGGAATACGAGAATACGGTAGTAAGCAACCAGGTTACCAGGAGTAGAAGGATGAGGCTCTAATATTTATTCGGAAGATTTTTTACTTACCCGTCATCTCGGAGTTAGTTTCTCTCCCCCCTCCTGATGAGGCTAGATCTGGCTCTAGCCGAAATCGGTAGAGGGAAGCGAGACCATCGTCCGTAGTAGCGTACTATGTTTAACACCATAGCCCGGCTATGGTGTTTTCTCTTGGAGCTTACCTTCCTATCCATAGAAGAGCTACTCTTGGTGCTGTAACTCCCATCTTTTTTAAGAGTTCACGAAGCTTTTCCGAGTTACACATAATCTGGCATGTTGCCTTTTAGCATGCTTGTGTGATGCGTACCGCTGATCTCAGCTTCGCGCTGATGTCGGCCTCGCTTTCCGTCCAATCCAATCCAATGTCCGCCAGCGATACACAACTCAATCTCGAGATGCCTTCCTTGATCATATTTAAGTTGTGCACATGCACGAGGTGTCTGAAGTAACGGGGCTGCGACAAGCCCTGCATGCACCCCAGATGCTCCACTTGCACCCTGACCCTGATGTCGCAGCACACCTGCGTATCTGTGATAAGTTGTTGCTCCCTATTCGCGTTCAATTCTCTAATTTCACGGAAGTTGCGCGCAGTGTCACACCTGGGGTCTCCCTGCCTGACCACTCGGGTTGTCAATGTTCGAAAGTGTTTCCTGACTGCTCACACTTAGTCGACGGCCATTTTGTTGCAGCCGACTGTGACATCATTCCTGATGATTGCCTCGACGGTTTGTTCCAGGAGGGCTCAAAGTATCGTCTCAATGGACAAATTGCTGATGTGCTTCAGGCTGTTAGAGTCGGCCTTGACGAGTATATTGCTAAATATCTGAGGTCGGTCTCCGAGCAGCTTCGTCTGACCGCTCAGAACAAAGTGCAGCAGTGGCGCTCAGCCGTTCTTATATGCTGCCAAAGCAACATCTCATCCTCCCACACTGCCACATGACAACCACACTCCCTTCATTCAGTCTCAACCTCATCAACGTGGCGACCCTTGTATGCGAGAGACGCAGTGGAGGATTTAAGAAGACTGAGAAATTGAATGAGTTCAATGTGCCTTTGTTTTTTTATTTTATCCTTTGTTCAGTGTAAAAAAATTATAAAACACTGAAATAAATAAGAATACACTAATACAAAGAAGAAGAAGACACTGTTTCTGTCTTTCTGGTTTGTCTGTCTCTTTGCCTGTCTGTCCTTTCATCTTTTCTTTCCTTCGCTCATCTTATTTCTTCTTCTACTTCACGTGTTTGCACTCTTAGTCAATAGTTCTGTGATAATATATATTATATATCGTCAAGAATGACTATGTTCTCCCTTGGGACATTCATGAAAATTTAAAATTCAAATATATCGTCAAGAATGACTATGTTCTCCCTTGGG